CTGCCCTCTTCACACAGGAAATGATAGAAAACAAACGTGTCTCTGAACACGTCCTTGTGGTAAATCCAACAAATGAAATGGAAAGCAAAGTGTGCATTGGCTTGGGGGGGTTTGACGCTTGCTGTTGTCGACTGTTGCTACAGTGAATAACTAAGTAACTTAGAAGCATGAAACAGTACTGATAATAGATGTCTGGATAATTTACATGTTTGTGGTGCTGTTGTGTTATAATAAAGACGCACAGTGCTTAATGTATTTATTACCACCCAGTTTAAGGTTTATGTCAGAGCTGCACTAAATTAACAGCAGTGGTAATTACCAAAATCATGTTTAATGTTTCTGTGATGGTTAACACACCAGTATGTCAAAACACTTGAACCGATATGATATTTTTAAATTTCAAATTTGCTGTTTAACAAAAAAGCAGAAACGATCATAAAGCACATTGTAATTTCTTGATGAAGATGTCAAATTATAGTTATTTACTTGCATTCCTGAGCAGATGAATGAGTTTTAATGGTTGAATGTTATCCATCCATCATCATCTATACACTGCTTAATCCTCACTAGGGTCTGGGGGGGCTGGAAGAAGCCGGAGAACCCGGAGAGAACCCACGCTGCACGGGGAGAACAAACATACAAACTCCACACAGAAAGATCCCGGGTGTCCTCACCGGGACGCGAACCAGCAACCTTCTAGCTGCGAGGCAGCAGTGCTAACCAACTGTGCCACCTTGCATCCCTGGTTGAATGTTACGCTTTTTTAATTTCTGACTTCTAAGAGAAGCCTCGTGGCTCAAACTTGGTTATAAAAAAGGTGAATTCAGTTTGAAATTCCTCATTCCTGTTTTAAAAAGGTAAAACATCAAGAGCTGAGTGCCAATTAAAGCACTTCATGATGCTGGATGGTCGATGTATGAAGAGTTCATTTGCAAAAACAGATAACTCCATCTTCACAAACCTTCAGAAAACCCACTTTCCCATCGTCTACCTGAGACAACATCAATCAAACCAAAGTTATCTCTACTTTTGTCATGTCTTTGTACTGAGTCAAATCCACTCAACCTCAGTTTGATTGATATTATCTCAAACAACAACAAAAAAACAAGTTTTCTGAAAATGAAGTTGTCTGTTTTTGCAAATGAACTCTTCATATACAACAAATTAGACAAATGGTTTAATATGTGAATGCAGGTGGTAAAATATAAAATCTTTTCAAGCATCCTGAAGTTGAAACCGAAGCTGATCTCGCTCTGAGTGTGTGGGAAACCTCTGTTATGCAAAAAGGAGGCTGTTGCGACACTTTGTAGCTCGCGCGTGTCTGATGAGGCAGTTTCTGCAACCATCAAAAAACAAAAACAGAACCGAGGCGCTGAGAAAAAGGAGGAACCGCTGAAAGTGTGAAACGCAGTACCCACGATTCAGCTGAAGTTCGGTCGCACGGAGGAGGAAAGACGTGGGCTGGGAAGGCGTCGCTGTGCCGAAACGACGCCTCATCTGTTCGTCTGTGGTAGAAAACCAGCCACTGGCAAAACTGATACACTATAAATACACCGCTTTACTGATATTTATTTATTTATGGCCTGAGAAGGAGGAACAGACAGGGAAGCAGAACATGACTTTGCAATCTTTTTATCGTGCCTGATACACTGAGGTTTGGCTTTCTGGAGCCGTTTGGTCAAAAAGAAAGAAAAAAAAGAAGAAGAAGAGCTGCACACGATCAGTAATGTGGTGTTGTGGTGTGAGACTGAGAAGCCGCAAAGCTCGATTAGAACGTGTTCCGATTTAAAGTGAAACAAAACCAGGAGACTTGATAAATAACAGGAAAAGTAAACCCCAGTTTTAATGTTGTGTATCCCACTGGTTGAAACATCACACATGGCAATAAAACATTCTTATTGCTGTTCTCCCTTTGAAAGCATCGTTTTTTCTTTTTACTACTTTCTAAATAATTTAGTTTCCAACAAACTAAGCTTCACCTCCTGCTAGTCAACTATAAAAGGTTTTTATTAAGCAAAAGAACTGAATGTGTCAAACATTTTTAATCCCGTTTATTTTAAAGTAAATGTTCCTTCATATCTGTGTGATGAACTTTTGATTATCTTCTGCTAAAGAATTATTACAAAGACGCATCATTTTCTTTCTTTTTTTTCATGCCTCCATATGTTTGTGTGAGTTGATTTTTAACCAGCAATCTTGGGAAGGAGGAGTTCCTTCTCCACAGGCTGGCTTCTCTCCACCTCTGCGTCGCCCTGCAGACACACAACAACAAATCCAGCTGTTAGTTCAGCAGCTGCAACGAACACGACCACATGGCTACTGATTTGTTCGCATTATGATTTGTACCTCCTCCCAGGTGGAGAGAGCCCGAAGGGCCAGAACAGAGAGGGTGAAGCTGACGCTGAGCTGGAGGAGAGCCAAGATGATCAGAGTACGAAGCAGTGATGAAGCCAACGCCTGGCAGACCACAAAGGAGACGTAAAGAAAGAAGTCAGTATGATTCAAAGACTTTATTTCATTTGTTTTATGTTGTTTTTACTTTTTTTGTTGTTTTTAAACACAAAGAATCATCAGATTTCCAGTCAACCAAGGGTCCTTGAACGCATCAGGAAAAATCAGAGAATTGATCAAATCTAACATCCATCCATCCATCCATCCATCCATCCATCCANTTTATTACCACCCACTTTAAGGTTTATGTCAGAGCTGCACTAAATTAACAGCAGTGGTAATTACCAAAATCATTTTTAATGTTTCTGTGATGGTTAACACACCGGTATGTCAAAACACTTTAACTTTAATATAATCTACATAATTCTTACAGGACAGATGGCTGAAAATTTTGTCGGATTGTGGAAAATATATAAAGGAGGCTCGAGGAAAGTTCATACAAGATAGGATCTTGCACAGGTACTACCGCACCCCATCGAGACTTTATAGAATGAAACTGTTAAAGGACAACTTTTGTTGGAAATGCAAAACAGAGGTTGGAACTTTCCTTCACTGTATCTGGGAGCGTTCTCTGGTGGCACCTTTCTGGGGTAAAGCTGTTGGAGTTCTGAGTGTCCGGTTCGTATCAACGATCCCTCTGACCCCAGATCACTCATTCGAAGACAACAACGTACAGATTTTGGCCAGGGAGGACAGATGGTGTCTTCTTATTATGGTGAAAATGCTAAGTTTTTGCTTCATCCTCTAAATTCAGGAACAACTTGGCAGCTACTATATGAACTCTATGACATTTAAACTAATATAAAGTAACTGTAAAGCAAAAGTAAGTACTAATGTTGCCTGTATATCATCCCCTTCCCCTGTTGCAACCCCCTACATCTGTCCCCTTTCATTTCTTGCACTGATTATAGAGTCACTTACTCAAGAAATGTAGAAAACAGTTATGTGACTTGGGCTGCAATGTGGCTCGGTGGTCAGCACCGTTGCCTCGCAGCAAGAAGGTCGTCAGTTTGCGTCCCGGTGAGGACACCAGGGATCGTTCTGCGTGAAGTTTGCATGTTCTCCCCGTGCAGCGTGGGTTCTTTCCGGGTTCTCCGGCTCCCTCCCACAGTCCAAAAACATGTTGAGGTTAACTGGTGATTCTGAATTTTGTGTAGGTGTGAATATGAATGTGCTTGGTTGTCTGTCCCTAAGCGTAGCCCTGTGATAGACTGGGTGTCCCCTGCCTTCACCCGAAGTCGGCTTGGATAGAGTCCAGCCCCCCACGACCCTAGTGAGGATTAAGTGGTGTATAGATGCTGGATGGATGGAGTTATGTGACTTGAACAGGAATAGATAAAACAAATGAAATATCCCAATATGCTGATGATGTACTGCTGTATGTCTATATGTATATATGCACATGTAATCGTGTCTTTCACTTCTATTGCAAAAAATGAAGGTTAGAATGGAGAAACCTAGAAGGATGTGAGGTTAAATTGCTTATCATCATGTGCAAAATATGTGTAATATAGAATACAAGTGCGGCCTGCTTTGTATCATGTTCTACGCAGACTTTGTGCTCAAGCGTCACTCAACAAATTTGTGACAAGTGTGATAAATGAATGACAAAACCTTCACAAGTAAACTGACTTTTCATGTTTATTATGTTTCCAGAGTAGATCATGCTCAATGCAATGCATGTGCCATCATACGTTTTTAGCATGTTGTGCCTCCACATTCTTATGTCATATTACTGTCGCTATAAAACAAAAGCAAATGAGGGATCATTTTGCGCCAAACAGATACTGATTCTTCATGTTCAAGGTTACATTTGACAGAATTGTGTACAAATTCAAAAAGAGACAGAGCAGAATATTGTCAAAAAGGCCAGTTGCCATTTAACATTTTAGCACATCTGAATTCCATCATTCTAGTTGTCTTTCACTTGCACTTTAATCACTGATGTGCTAGCATCTGACATTGTAGCCAAGACGGAAACCTGATCTTTCTGGTATTTGAGACTGGGACCACTGGCTTTTTCCCTGACAAACGGACCATCTGTGCTGCCGTTGTACATCTGATCATAAAGGTTACGATTACACTC